AAAAAAAAAAACAAAGAAAAAGAAAGCAATAACTGTTAATGAATTGGCTTCACTGGCAGAAGAACTTTGCGAAAAGTTAAGTGATGATAGTCTTATCAAATGCTACAAAGAGATAATCAGTTTATTCTGGTCATTTCAATGATTTTCATTTTTTTCCATCTAATACATGCATTAAAAAGTTTAGAAGTTGCTTATTTTAAAAGTGAAGTATCTGTGAGTGTTATTGTAAATTCATTTAGGATAAGTTCCATCATTGAGGGGAAATTAATTGTGGATGTGGTAAAGATAGAAATACAAAGATTGGTGGCATATAATATATTAAAACAAAGTTTTTATTAATAAACTTTTTTTGGTAAGTTTCTTTTCTCTTCTCTTGTCTTCTCTTCTCCTTTCTTGAGACAAGAGTCTCACTCTGTTGCCCTAGGTGGAGTGCTGTGGCTTTGTAGCTTACAGCAACCCGAGTATCTTGATTTTTGGTGCCTGCCACACTGCCCCACTGCCCCACTAGTTTTTCTATTTTTATTTTATTTTATTTATTTTAGCAGAGAGTGAGTTTTGCTCTTGCTCAGGCTGGTCTCGAACTCCCGAGTTCATGCAGTCCACCTACCGTGGCCTCCCAGAGGGCTAGGATTAAGGAGAATTTTTTTTTTGAGACAGATTCTCACTTTGTCGCCCTTGGTAGAGTGCTATGGCATCACAGCTTACAGCAACCTCCAACTCTTCAGCTTAGGTGATTCTCTTGCCTCAGCCTCCTGAGTAGCTGGGACTACATGTGCCCACCACAATGCCTGGCTTGTTGTTGTTGTTGTTGTTGTTGTTGTTGTTGCAGTTGTCACTGCTGATTTAGCTAGCCAGGGCTGGGTTCAAACCCGCCACCCTCGGTATATGGGGCGGGCGCCCTACCCACTGAGCCACAGGCACTGCCCACGAAACTTTTTTTTTTGGAGACAGAGTCTCACTATGTCGCCCTTTGTAGAGTGCAATGATATCACAGCTCAGAGCAACCTCAAACTCTTGGGCTTAAACAATTCTCTTGCCTCAGCCTCCCAAGTAGCTGGGACTACAGGTGCCTGCCACAATGCCCGGCTATTTTTTTGTTATTGTTGTCATTGTTGTTTTAGCAGGCCCTGGCCTGGTTTGAACCCACCAGTCCTGGTGCATGCGGCCAGCACCCTTACCCCTGAGCTAAGGCACTGAGTCAAGGAAATTTTTTTTATTAAGTAACTATTAATCAATATGGTACATATGTAATACATAAATATGCCAGAACAAACTGTGATAGTCTACTAATAAAAAAATAGAAGCTGTAAACATCTATTTCCATCCAATTCAGAGTAATAGAAAGTGTATTTACCTTTCCTATGATAAAGCAATGACCTTAACTTTCATTTTAAGAAACTGTTGGGGCTCGGTGCCTATAGCTCAACCGGCTAAGGTGCCAGCCACGTACACCTAAGGTGGTGGGTTCGAATCCCCAGCCCGAACCCGCCAAACAACGACGGCTGCAACCAAAAAAACAGCTGGGCATTGTGGCGGGCGCCTGTGGTCCCAGCTACTTGGGAGGTGGAGGCAGGAGACTCGCTTGAGCCCAGGAGTTGGAGATTGCTGTGAGCTATAATGTCTCGGCACTCTACCCAGGGGGAGAGCTTGAGGCTCTGTCTCAAAAAAAAAAAGAAACTGTTGGATTCTATTCTGCTTGCCAGTTAACAAGTTGGCTTGCCAGTTTCATAGATGCTAGTAGGCAACTTTTGGTTTATAGATAAAGGATTTTACTACTTGTCTGGTAGGTGGCAAAAGATTACATTTACTCATTTGCTGTCTTCTCTTCCTCCATGGGGATGGAGGCAAACTCAAGTTCCCTGAAGACTGCACACACAGTATATATAACTGAGGAACTCTGACCTTAGGGAACTCTCTAATCTTATAACGGGATTAGTAGCAAACCTGCTCAACCTTTTCTTCTAGAGAGATGTTATATTTATTATCTTGGACAGCAAATAAGTATTTCCTCTGCTCCAGAGAGATACTTATCTCTGTCTTCCAAGCCTGCTTACTATATGAACAACCTTGAAAAGATAGTCTAGAGCAAAGTTAATAATTTTTCTCAAAAGACATGTAGAAATAGAAGAAACCCATTGAGAATTTTGTCCCCAAAATATCCACCCTTTCTTTCCACGTAAAATAGTCTATTCACTCAGCCATTCTGATCAATCTGACCTGACTGACAGGGTTGGTACCAAATCTGTTTAATTTATCTCTTGTACTTACATTAGAAAGCCAGGAAGTATTTTAAAGTTTTTGTAGTGACCTTTCTTCTTAGCTCAAGCTGTTAATCCAGGTACAAAAGGGTGTATTAGTGATTTTTGCAGATTCTACTTAGGTGTGCACAGGGGAAGGTCTAGATAATTCCATCTTTAACAACTTTGACTTGTAAATAAAGGTAGATTTGAATGACTTTTCGGTACAAAGTTTGTTTTTTTTTAACGTGAAGGCCTATGATGGCTGTTTGTAAAGTGAATTTCACCTTATTTTTGAGGAGACAAGCAGGTTAATGCCTGGCTTTCACCCAAGAAGTAGACTATAGTCTTGGGAGTGCATATGGTGCCCTTGGAAGCAAGTATTGCTTATAATTGTTGGAGCCCCCCAAATAGGACCAACACAATTTAGAGGTACAAGTTAACAGTGCTTCCAATTTGGGGCTCCCAATTCTGTTCAAATAATTGATCTGGCCCTTATTTTTGGAGAGACTGCTTGATGGCTCTCAATGTAGTTTCTCCTATTTGGTCACATTGCTCATTGATGGAATTTATCTGTCCCATGGAAAGACTGAGAATGGTGTTGAGGAAGATACCTAGGAGTGTTTTTTGTGGGAAGAGCAGAAGCTAGGATCATCCCTGCTGCTTCTGATGGACTTGTCAGTGAGGTTAGGGGAACGACAGATTATTGTCAGAACCGTCTGTTGTATGGTTACCTAGCAGGAAATTAAATTTAAGGCACTTGGCAACAGTTTGGGAGCGCTCACAAGAGTACTCTTCTTGCAGAGGAATGTTATGGGTATATTTTTAAGAGAATTATTTTTGAAATTAGTTTCTGAATAGAATTATTTTATAGCCCTGCCATATCATAAATATTTCAAAATGTTTTAATTTTAGCTCCCTCTTTCACTCTGCAACAGTGTTCTGTTTTGGATGACAAATCATATGATAGTCCTTTCTAAGACCCAGGTCAATTATCCATTACAGTTTTTCTGACCAGCACACATGGGAATGTTCTTTCCTACCTCTAAACTTCTCAAACACATCCTGTGTACCCTTCATATGTAATTTATGCGTGCTACACTGTCTTTGAATCGCATGCGCTTATTTCCTGCTATGTTGTGAGGTTTTTAAGTATTGTGGCAATAATTTATTAATTTCTGTCCTTGCCAGGGCCTAGTACCATGCTTGACACACAGAAGATAACTTGGTAAATCCATTAACTTTTAAAAACCTTCTCTCCTTCCCACCTTATTTAATATATGTATATTAAGTGAGTCTGTATTAAATGATTCTTAGTGGTTGGTGTTTGAAAACCTTATATATCTCATGAGAATTTTGTAGTTTGGATAAAGCAGGTAGTATCTTTGTTTTACACATATACAAAGAAAGAGAGGTTAAAGGAAATGGTATTCTTCCTCAAGTTTAAGAACTTGGAGGCAGTTCTGAGATTAGAATCTAGGTCTCCTGAGTCATTGCTTATTTCTCTTCTGATTATGCCATGCTGTATTAAATATTTAACATATTTAAGGAGATAGATAATAGTTGAGTAGTTTATTTTCCTTCCATAAAGAGGTATGTATATATTTAATGTGAGATTATTTAAACAATGTTACGACTTGAAATTCCACCTATGCAGAAGAACTGGGGACACCTTTATTCAGTGGACTTTGTTGTTGTTCATGGTTGTAAGGTATGAAGAATGTTTTAATGTTTGGCTTTTGTTTTTAATGGTTGGCTTCCCTTCGGAGTTATTACTGTTAACACTTGCCTTAGTGTCCTCCCGTTCCCTTCTTGACACTCATACAAACATAGGTTCAGATGTATGTGAGATTTTTCCAAATTGATATATGTGAATTTCCACTACTGTCAGTCTCTTGCTAGACATTCAGTTTTTCTCCAGTTCTTCACTCCAAAGCATGTAGTAACACTCCTTGTACCTGTATCTTTAATACTAGAGTGGACCCTTAAGGGGTTTGCTGAACAGGGCAGAGAAACAGCATGATGTGAAGCCCAAAGTCACATTGTTGGTTCACTCAACTTTTATATTTAAAAAAACCATTGTTTATTTCTTTTTCTTTTTTTTTATTGTTGGGAATTCATTTTTTATTATTTGGGGATTCACTGATTGCATTTATTAGGTAAAGTCCCTCTTATAATTGTGTCTTGCCCCTAAAAGGTGTGTCACACACTGAAACCCCACAAAACCATTATTTTTTTTAGGTGTTGTAAAGGCTTCTATAGCTCTCACTTGAAAATAATTTGGAATATTAGAATGTGCCAACACTTTGGAATCAGATGTAGATTTTAATTAGTTTTCTGGAACATACTAGCTGTAGACAATGTAGGCAAACCACTCAATACCCAAAACCTCTTTCATTATCTTACCTTTAAAGAATTGGAGAAAATGCATGTAAAGCACTTTATATAAAAGATATGAAAGACCCTAGTAAATGTGGTTGTCTTTTGTTATTCTGATGATAATTCTAGCTAACCATATGGTGGACCCTTAGGGTGTGCTGGGTACCATATTAAATGTAGCTCATGCATTATCTCGTTCATTCCTCACAATAGTGTGGTGCCTGTGAGGAATGGAAAACGTTCAGTGATCATATAGATAGTAAAGGGAGGAGCCAGGATTAAAACTCTGGCAGTATAGAGGACACTTCTCTAAACTCTACACTATTACTGTGATACATGCTACTAGAACAAGAGTCCTCAACTTTTACAGTGGTGACATTTTGGACCAGATAATTTTTTTTTTTTTAAGACAGGGTCTCATTCAGTTTGCCAGACTGGAGTGTAGTGGAATCATCATAGCTAACTACAGCCTCAAACTCCTGGGCTTATATGATCCTCCTGCCTCAGCCTCCTATGTAGCTGCACACTACAGATGTGTGCCAGATAATTCTTTGTTCTCAGGATGTTTATCTATATGCTTGGCCTCTGCCCACTAGATGTCAGTAGCAAACCATCCCAATGCCAGGGACAATAAGTCTCAAACATTGCCAAATGTTCCCTGGTGGGTACAGTCACCTTAGTTGGGAACCATTGCCCTAGAAGAAGAGCATATTTGGGTAGGGGAGAAGGGGAGGTGACTCTGAGGTAGTTGAAAATATACAATTGTAATTTAGGAAAAGAATCAGAACTAAACGTGTGATTTGAAAGTCCCTGTTCAGTGGTAGTTATTTACTCCCCTCTCCCCCAGAGGTGCACAGTCAGAAAAAAGAAGACTGTAAAGACAGCTCAAGAGACTTAATAGATGAGGGAAAAGTGTGTGAAGAGTAACCAGAGATTGAGAGAGTCAGAAGGAACAATCGTAGGGAGGTGATCAATGACAATAAACTATTGAAACATTCTAAAACTGTGAAAGTAATATACTGCCTTTGAAAATAATTGAGAAATATTAAAGGATGCAATAGAATTTGACTGTGAGCTTTATCAGTTTTACCATTTTAATTTGTCATATCTCATTGCCATCACTTGGGCGTTTCATTTTGGTTAATAATTATTAGTAAAGAAAAAAATGAATTAATTTTGTTTTGTGAAGAAGATAATTTTTTCTTTCAGGTTGCCGAGGAGCCCAAGTAGAAGAAATATGGAGTTTAGAGCCTGAAAATTTTGAAAAACTAAAGTAAGTGTAATTTAGTTGTGTTAAAAATATGTCTAAAAAAAAGTATTATGTCTATACTTCAGCAGACATTTAAAGCATACTCAAATTTATTTTACTTGGCTTACCCTAGGCAGACTACATTATCTGCTTTAAGTTTCTTTTCAGTCCTATGAGATGAGTATTATTATTTTCAGTTTATAGCCAAGAATCTGAGGTTAATAGGTAAGTAATGTGCAAGGGATTCAAAACCATCTCTTTAATTCCATGTTTACATAGTACTGACTAGTTGATTTGTCACAAAATTCACTTATCTATCAATAGTGTTAGAACATGCAACATATTTTAACATAAAAACATGAATGATAGGTCAGTCTACAAAAGCATATTTAATAGAAACTATATCTTAATAGTAATTCATATCTATACATTATCACATTGCTTCTTGGGGAAGTTGCAGTTCAAGTTTCAAATGTTGATTCCTGGAAGAACTTTCCCCTGCTCCCTTCTACAGGAGTTTTCGCTGGTGAGAGAATTCTTGAAATTTTGGAATAGGGACAAGGAATAGGCTTTAACAGGGAAAATCGGGGCTTAGGGATATGGCAACTATTTTTAATAGTAAGAAGGAGATAAGGTGGTTTGCTGCCTCCTCCTTTCCTCTTCCCCACCAAAAGAACAATCACTTTAAATGGAATGGGGTCAATTCTGGCTCAGATCAGTGACTTAATTGAAGATGCATCATTTGAACTGTATTTAAAAAGATAGGAAAGATTTTTGTTGAGTGTAAGACAGTTGTGAAAGACTGTAGAGAATCTAAGTAGTGATTTTATGTTTCATGCTCAGGAACAGTTCCTTTAGGAAAGTAGATGACTTCATTATGTATGAGGTGACAATATTCATTCATATTATAATATGAGGAATCGTGCATGAATCTCATGATACCTGAAGGTGGCTTCCTATGTTTAATATAAGTTATATATAGTCTATCAACCATTTATCTGTAAAAATCCTGCATGAACTTTATTCATGTATCTTGGAATTCAGTTCAAGGTTAACAGCTTCTTCTAGATTTACTGTGTTCTAATTTTTAAGTAAAGTTATATAAGGTAGAAATGAGAGTCCACAGATCTGAGGATAAACTTTTCATTGTAATTTTTTGTAACTGGTGTAATTTTAAGTTTTATTAACTTTTATAAGACAATATGCTAAAGACTATGAATTGCAATATCCATCTTTTAGAATTTTCTCATATTAATTTACTTCATTTGCATCATATTTGTTAAATAAGTGACTAAAATTTCATATATTAACAGTGTATCATAGAAGAAGCAGGGTTTGGTGTCACTAATTTGTGTTTTATTTTATAGGCCAGTTCATGGGTTAATTTTTCTTTTCAAGTGGCAGCCAGGAGAAGAACCAGCAGGTTCTGTGGTTCAGGACTCCAGACTTGACACAATATTTTTCGCTAAGCAGGTATGGTCCTGGGATACTCTGAAAAGTCTCAAGAGCAATCCTTTTTATAAATAGGGCTCTAGTTTACTACTGTGTGCCTCTTAGTATAGCAATCCTCAGACTTTTTTGTCTCAGCACCCCTGTGTACTCTTATGTATTATTGAGATTCCCCAAAGAGCTTTTGTTGATGGGATTATGGATCAATATTTATCATATTAGACATTAAAATAAACATTTAAAAATATTTAATTAGGCCGAGTGTGGTGGCTCACACCTGTAATCCCAGCACTTTGGGAGGCCGAGGCAGGAGGAATGCTTGAACTCAGGAGTTCAAGACCAGCCTGAGCAAGAGCAAGACCCAGTCTCAACTAAAAATAAGAAAAAAATATTAGCTGGGGGCTATGGAGGGTGCCTATAGTTCCAGTTGCTACAGAGGCTAAGGCAAGAGGATTGCTTGATCTCAGGAGTCTGAGGTTGCTGTGAGCTAGTCTAATGCCATGGCACTCTAGCCTAGGGCCACAGAGTGAGACTCAGAAGTGTATATTGTTCACATTTTTTGGCATCTTTCTAATGTCTAGCTTAGTAGTAAGCAGCTGGATTCTCCTACCTGCTACCTCATTCTGTCAGTTGTAGTGTTTTTGTTTTGTTTTGTTTTGCTTTTGATTGAAATATCTAAAGAAAGTTGAGTCTCACATATATGTGTAGAGAGGAGCATTATCTTTTTCTGGTAAATGAGATATTCTTTGATACCATGAGAAAGTGTTGCTTCCTTAAAAGTTAGTTGCAATTTAAATTGTACTTTGTAAACTCCTTTTCTTAAAATCCTTAGGATTATGTTGCCCTTTAAATGGGTCTTTTGTTCCTGCATGATTTTATAAGATTGTGCACTGATCATTTGGAAAACTTACCCATTTATGCACATCTTCTACATTTGATATGATTTGACAATGATATGATTGGACAAGAAGTCACATTTGTTAATATGTATGATTAAGCATCAAGAAATTTTTAAGATCATGGTATTGGATCTAAGTTTTATAAATTCTAATTTTCACTTCAAAGGTTAAATTTTAGCAATAACAGCAAATACCATTAGGTGTTTTCCCTGAAGCCACAAACTGATTTCATTGATTTTTGAACCAAATATCTGCCAAACAGACTTATCTGGAAAACCATATTTGTCTGTCATTTGTTCTTTCAAGTAAAAATGATGTTCTGAGAAAAAAGCTGCCAATTTAGCTCACATCTAGATTGCCCAGGTTCCTCTCCGTGAGATAACTGGTGTGTTTTGGTATGCAGCAGGAGTTCTTTATTTGTCATCCTGTTTCATTCCATGAAATATTAAAGATTTGTACTGTGAAATAGAAATTTAATAAAAATAAACTTTTATTGCTTTGTCGAACACATTTTTGAGTTAAACCGACTTTTTATTTTACTTTTTTACTGCATGTATATGTCAATGAAGTATAATAATTTAATGCCACTGCCTAGATTTATGCTAAAATGCTAGTAGTTTTTTATCGTGTCATTTTTGTGCCAACAGTACAGATGGAAAAGCAGGGAGAAAGGAAAAAACTTTCTTAGAATTGTGATGGAAACAGTTTTGTAAAGGATCTTAGGGATTCCTAGAAATCCATGGACCACACTTGAGAATGATTAGGAAAATAAAAAGTTTCAACTCCCATTATTAGATGCCTTCATATATCTGACTTGTTGTTTGGAAAAACTGAAAAAGAGAATGATTATTTTGATTAATTAGTTTGAAATCCAAGTATGATTTCATCTGTTTGAAAATTGCACTTAATTCTGAGACCCCCACACAATTGGCTTGCTGGTTAACCTTTAGAAAGTAGAAAAATAAAACTACTTAATTTTTATTGCTGCCCTTGAAATAAAGCCTTTGCTGTTCTACAAGTAACTTGTTTTCCTTTTTTCTCTTACTATATTGCTTCTTTCCATTTCCTCTGACTTTTTTTGAATTGAATGTTTTTAGAAAAATTAAAGCTTTTTTTTACTTTAAGGAAAATATGACTTTATTATTGTATGCTTAAAAATGTGTCCTTTTTTTTTCCTAATAGTAGAACTTGCATTACAGAAATATGTGTATATGTAGTGATGAAAGTGAATACCCTTGTAATCCCACAATGACAATTATAATGATAAATATACCAAGAATAGCTAACATTTACCACTCTTATTATGTGCCATATATTGGGCATTAGATATATTCTTTATTTAATTCTTTTAGCAACCCTCTGATATTTGTTATCCTCATTTCATATTTGAAGAAATAGAGGCCTTGAAAAATTGTTAGCCTGAGGTCACACAGATGCTATGTGGTAGATCCAGAACTTAAACCCAGGTCTAAAACCCAAGTTTGTGATTCTGCATGTCCTTCTATCTCCCACATTTTCTAATCATATGCTAACATATTTTCCTTATAAATTTTTACTAAAATTGGATTATTCAAAGTATTTTCTATCTTTTTTCACTTAATAAAAAGTTGACTTTGTTTCATTTCAGTACACATAACAAATATTAGTTACCGTTTATCAAATTCTTTTTCTTTTTTTGAGATGGAGTCTCACTCTGTCTCCCTGGGTAGAGTGCTGTGGTGTCATCATAGCTCACAGCAACCTCAAACTCTTAGGCTCAAGAGATCCTCTTGCCTCCGCCTCCCAAGTAGCTGGGACTATAGGCACGTGCCACCATGCCTGGTTAATTTTTCTGGTTTAGTAGAGATGGGGTCTGGTTCCTGCTCAGGCTGCTCTTGAATTCCTGTAATATGAAAACATACTACATTTTTATAATTTTTCCACATATATATGGCTATATTTAATTCAAACATTCCACCTGCCTAGGCCTCCCAGAGTGCTGAGATTATAGGCATGAGCCGCTCCACCCGGCCTCATTTAGGAAAGTCTTAAGTGTTTTTATATATTTTTTAAATTATTAATTTGTTTGTAGTAACAAACAGCAGAGCTGGGGTGCAAACTCAAGGACTTGGGCTCTAAAGTCTGTACTCTTAACCTTACTTATCACTATACTGCTTCTTTTAAAAGTATTATTTGTATAAATGTTCTGTAATTTACTTAACTAATTTTTTAAGGGTCAAGATTTTGAGTTTCTAATTATTTCTCTAACACAAATAATCCCATTTATCATTGCAATATTCGTGTAATTATTTATCTGTGTACTTAATACTATAATTTTAAAATCACAGTTTGTGAATTCTAAAGTCTAAGATCTGAGTAGTAGAGAAAAGATACAGGAGAGATACTTTTAAAAGTCCTTCAGGTGATTTTTCTCCCTTTTTTTTTTTTTTTTTATTTAGAGACAGAGTCTCACTTTATCACCCGTGATAGAGTGCTATGGCGTCACAGCTCACAGCAACCTCTAGCTCTTGGGCCTAGGCAATTCTCTTGCCTCAGCCTCCCGAGTAGCTGGGACTACAGGTGCCCACCACAAGGCACAGCTATTTTTTTATTGCAGTTTGGCCAGTCTGGGTTCGAACCCACTACCCTCGGTATATGGGGCCGGCACCCTACTCACTGAGCCATAGGCACCGCCCGATTTTTCTCCTTTTTAAAAAAATTTTACTTTTTTTAGTATATATAGGAATTTATGCCCATTATAAAAATTTAAGCATTATAAAATGAGTTATCTAGAAAATAAAAATACCTTATAACTTACTTTAGAGATAACCTCTGAAAACATTACATTTTTACAAATTTTTCCACATATATGTGGCTATATTTAATTGTATATGTTCATGTTAAACTGTAAATATGGACATCATGGATTTTGTTTTTATATGCAGTCCTTGTGGCACTTAGTGAGCATCTAATAAATGGAGATTGAACTGTTTATGTTTAGGAATATTCCAACAAAGATGCTGGAATTCACTAATACCGAGACACTAATGATGTCTGGTTTATAGAAGTCTAAGTATTTTTAAGGTACAAGAAAATACTTCATAAGGAAAAAATATGATACAAGAGTATGAATTTTTTTTAATTTTTTAAAAATTGTATTAAGTCAAATACACATAGATCTTGGTTACATTCATGCATGTGTGGGTGAATTTTTTAATTTCTGGAGTTTCTTAATATTTTTCTAGTTCTGTGTTACATTTCTGTCTTACTGTAATTTAGTGTTTTACTTGTATTATGTTAATCTAGCAGCTTTTATTAAAATGTCAGATTAGTGATTCCCCAATAATATCACTGTACTTTATTATGTTAACAGTTTTTATTAAAGTGGTAAGGTAATAATTCCCTGATAATATTTGTAAGTCATGTTAGTATTCAACTCTTGTGAGCCTATGCAAGGAGTTTATAGTATATCCTACATAAATGTGTAATCCTTAGTTTAAGGTTGTAAGGGCTTATGGTAATGATTTCTTTTTATATATATACATATTTAATCAACATATGTAGTAGATTAAAATTTCCTTGAAGTAACATTTAACATCAAGAGAAAAGGGGACCGGAAAGGGGTTAACACACCAATCCAAGGAATGGGATATGGACAATAATGCTGAGATGGTTGTCAAGGCAGAATCCTTGATTTTGGCAGAGCTTTCGAGGGTAGATGCTGGGTACTGATCAGTAGCAACAGCAAAATGGTGTCTATGGAGACAGCTGTTTCTAGCTAGTGAAGTTCTGCTCTTTTTATGGCCCTTGAGAGCTTTGGTGAGGGCTAATACAGGGTTATGCCCCTATCTGGTTGGGTGTAGTCTCTGAACATCTTAAGCTCCCTGTTGGCATGATGCCTTTTAAAATGGAAGATAGAGTGTTTTTCTGGGGTGGGAGATTCTTTTTTTTTTTTTTTATTAAAAAACCTCTTTTTTTTTTTTTTTTTTTACATACTTTTTATTTATTTATTTATTGTTGCAGTTGGGCCGGGGCTGGGTTTGAACCCACCACCCTCGGTATGTGGGGCCGGCACCCTACTCACTGAGCCACAGGTGCCACCCCGGGAGATTCTGATGTTAAGGGTGCTCCATATACCCCTCCGTG